TTTGAAAATTATAATAATCTAGAACCTTGTTTGAACTGTGACTATTTTCCCTTATCGCAAAAAAATCGAAAATGAAAATTTTTGCATTTCTCGACGTTTCAAAGGTTCTGAATATTTTGGCATACCTTAGAAAAAATGGATGTATGTGTGTGTGTGTGTGTGTTTGCGTGTGTGTATGTATGTGCGATACAAATTTTCGTCGACGCTTTCGGGAACACCGATCAACCGATTTGAATAATTCAAAAAACATTCGATTCGTATTGATAAGGAGACGTGCTGATTAGTTTTTGGCGAGTCAGGTCTAGCCGTTCCGAAGATACGGGGCAAAAAGTGCCAAAACGGTAAACTCAGTTTTTAAGAGAACGGAGCATCCGATTTTAATAATTCAAAAAACATTTTACTTGTATTGACAAGGTGAAGAACTGATCAAATTTTCATAAAGGCAGGTCTAGCGGTTTCGGAGATCTAATAAAAAAAGTAAAAAAATGCCATTTGGCGTTCAAAAATGATCATTAGACATATGCACATCAAATTATCAGATATTTCATAGAGATTTAACAATAAGTATACATTTGGTTTACATTCCTATGGGTTCCGTACCAATGTTTACGCGTTAGACGGCGACGCGGCGCTTACGCGGTTGATATTTCATCTTTATGCAGTTAAAGCAGTACGATTGCTTTGAAAAAAAGTTTAGATCTTTCAAAATATGTCAAAATAAAGAAAACATTTTTTCAAAAAAAAAAAAAAATAAAAAATAAAAAAAAATAAAAAAATTTTTTTTCAAAAAAATAATTTTTGACCAATTTATAGTTTCTCAAAAATCTTATTTTTTCAAGTAATTTTTTTCAAAAATGTTAATCGTTTTTAAAAAAAAATAAAATTTTTGGTACGGGAAGTTCCAGCAATTTGCCTTAAGGCACGATGCCTTGATTGCCTTAAGACAGAATTCTACTTACAGCTAGTTGTAGTTTTTTTTTTCATTAACCACGGTCCAAAATAATGGCACGATTGCACAAAGTTCTCTAGAATTAAGACTATTTGTTTAAGAACCATGAATTTAAATTGTTTAAAATACGTTGACTTTGAAATACAATTTTTGTCAAAATGAACTAAGGGCCTTGGCAAGTCCCATTGGTTATTTAAACTAAAAACCTAAAAACAACACGATTTTCTCTCATCATTTTATATTAAAGATATATTACATGTTGCTTAAAATTAAGAAAAGAGTTTTGCCATTTAGAGAATTTGTTGTTTTGTTATAAATTCCTCGAATGCTTTTGGTTTTCTTCCTGGTTGATCGAAAACAATAAATTTTTGTAATTAAATTGTTATAAGATTTGCTGATCGATATTTCTTTCTGCGCTTTAGATTGACGGTATATTCACACGTAGAATAATCAATATATATATATATATATATATATATATATATATATATATATATATACATTAATCATAAATGTTCAATTATTGCTTTATTTATTAATGCATCAGCATTACCAAAAAAACATAAATCATATCCTAATAATGCTGTATGTATAAAAATCAATCCTGCCGATTAATATTTTTATAAGTATAATATTAGGTAAGCCCAAAAACTAGTGGTGTATGGGCATCGTGCCCTTAAGGCAAATTGCTGGACTTCCCGTACAGTAACGAAATGTTCGAGGATATTGAATATTTTCAAATAATTATTATAAATACGGTAACATTGTCTAATATTTATAAGAATTATATAAACTGAATTGCAAAGTTGAAATTATTTATTTAAAGTATATAAGTGAGCTTTAGAACTTTAGCCAGAATTGAAATTAAAATCTGAATATTTTCAATGAACAAAAAAAATTTAAAACAAAAATCTTTTTCCAAAAGTAATTATTATTGTCAAAACAAGCAGAAAGTTTTTGAATCATTAAAATCGGATGCTTAGTTCTCTCAAAAACTGCAATTTTTGCACATTTTAGCTCTGTATCTCCGTAACGGCTGGACCTGCCTTTGCCAAAAACTAATCACCACATCTCCCCATCATTACAAATTGAATGTTTTTTTTAATCATTCAAGTGAGATACTCTGTTCTCTCAAAAATTCGATTCTATTTTACTATTTGTGCCTTAAGGCAAATTGCTGGAACTTCCCGTACC